ATCTTTGTATTATATAGCCTGCGTTTCTTCCGCTAACCAGCTTTTTAGCCACGCACAGTTTCGGGATATAGAACGTATTTTATTTATTGGGATATAGACATATTTTAAATGGTCATATTAAATAGATTTAATATATACATACTTCTCTAACCAACGCGTAATAATTTCTTACAGGTGTATACGGGTTGATATGTTATTTATGGTGCAACTAGAGATAAAAAGGAGATGGAATGTCCGTTGTATCATGAATAACGGATCATCCTGTATACTGGCTCCATGCATCACGGGTAAATTAATTGTCGATTTTTAGAATGTGTTTATATAATATTTTTCGCACAGAGCAATAAACTTGAATCAACTGGTAAATTTTTGTTCATTCGTAACCTGTAAACGTCTTCCGTTTACGCCTTGTAAACATCTTTCGTAGCTAAAGGGTTAATCACTGAAAGCAAAGAAGAGAATACGATTTTCAGAAAAGCAACATGCAAAGAAAGAAAGTTGCAAGCCGATTTTGTGTTCGTTACAAGATGAGGAAAAGGATAAATAACCAATGAATAAATATAGGGTGTCCCAAAATTCAAGCAAAAAGTAATTTCGACAGGAAACAGGTTTTTAATTTAAAATTGTAAATATTACTTAACAATGATGAAGACGTGTTGTTCTTTCGTGTAGCGCTTCATTTCTAATAATTCCGAACTATCAGCTGTCACGCTGTCTTTTTCTTTTTGTTGGCAACACTTTACCGCACAAATGGCGCGAAATTCAAATTTTGTGTGAATTTTGGGACATCCTATAGTAATAAAGAATAGTAATCGATTTACAAAATAGATTTCATATGATCGAAAACGTTGTGTGGTGAAAATTCGTAAAAACAATGTACAAGATTTTTTAAGATCGTTTTCGTGAAAAAAATCGGAAGTGTAATTAGGAATTAAAAGCTACAGATCGTTTAAGCGAATGTAAATACATTTTATGAAGACTAAATCATGAATGATAAATATAATGATAAATTTGAAGGATGTTACTTTGAATGGGGTCGTTAATTTTTAATTTCATAATTAAAATAATTTCAAATTAGAAAATTACGTCTTTCTTAACAGGTTGATATTCTGTAACGGGATTTAATTGCAGAGAAGATAAAAATTATGCTTCATTAAAATTTCTTTATTTTATTTTTATTCGAGTAAATCTTTGTTTAATGATGAATTGCTTAATGACAATTATTTTATTACATTATTATAGTGAAACATAATAACACGAATGAAGCATAGTAAGCAAAAATGAAGCTTTCAAAAGAAGTTAAGCTGTAAGATATTTCCAATTGCCAATGAGAGAAATCAAGATACCGTGTAAAGCAGTAAAAACGATGGGAACATAATATATTCATAATATTTATTTGGACATGTGCACTACTGCTCCCTGCAGAAGTATATTTCAATAAGCAAGCGAGTCATGACTGCTGCAAGGTATATAATTTTTGAGGTTACCCGCCATTGTAGAGAATTAATTTGAAAAATTATAGAAACTCGAGAGATTTACAGTGGAAGAATGAAGAAAATGGAGAAATCAAATCAGAAAGACAACCAGATTTTCATTCACGCGGTATATAGTGCCTTCTATTAAACATTTTATTTATCATTTCGTTCGATTCTTCTGATCCAACTCAGTGTTAAAGAAAATACACGTAATTTTCTGATTTTCATCTTAGAGATAATAGTACCTTGTAGTGTTTCACTGCTTAATTCTTATTACCAAATTAACCAAACTTAACTTGTAAATAAGAGAAGTTTATAATCTTGAGGATCTTATGATTGATTCAGAATTAAGATTGCAAATATTTTTTCCGAAAATTTCATTAGGCTACGTAGTTTAAAGATATTATACTAACGTTGCTATATAAAGTAATAAAAGCTAAATGGTCCCAAGGTAACAAATCTAAGTAGCTTGTAAACGTAATTATTGATTGTATCTAACTAAAAATCTTGTCAAGTGTTTCAATTAGGAACCTTTAGATCTTGGATTCAAGATCCAGCTACGAAGCAAGGATAATCTAACCTATAATGTTTGCTTCTAAATAAGAAATTTCTTTGCGGTTGTAAATGTAAGTTTACCTATCTCCATTGAGATTTACCTAACTCTACCATTGATATCTAACCTATAAATTTTAGTATTACTTTGTTTCAATTGAAATTCAGACTCAAAAAGTTGGTTTCTTCTAGTTACATAACTCTTCTCTGCTAAAGGATTATTTGAAATCATTTTTGAATTAAATATTCTTCTTAACGATATTATACCATTGTAATTTTACAATTAATTTTAATCATTTCCACATAATAACTTTTTCTGGTTGTTTTGATGAAGCTCAAAAAATCACGATTTATAAAATTTTTAATAAATCATTCCCCAGAGAATGAATTATTTGTAACTGATAATTCACTAGAAAATTGAGTGTGCAATCATTGGTGAATCCTAGGGAATTATTGATATATATTAATGGAAATTAGTGTACCGAACTAAGTTATTTAAAGGCTATATATTTGAAGCATTTAAAGGGAATTAAAAGAAAAAAATAGAAGGGAGTGCAATGAATCGGAAAAAAGAGTTCATCGGTATTTTAATCCTTACCTTATTAACTTTAATTACCGATCGATTATTGTCAAGCACCACAAGCGTCCTTAAATCAACTATTATCTTACTAAAAAAGCAAAGAGTGAACCATTTTAACCATTTTTATACGAGATTATACACAATTAGAAGCTATGTCAGATAGACGAAGGATGATAATTAGAATCGTTCAAAAGCCGTAGATCGAAACGAAAAAATGTTTTAGATCGATTAAAGGAACACATTGATCAATTTTATCTGAATTTTGTAACAGCGTAGGAGGAAACTAGTAGAAAATTTCGAATATTGCTATAGCTACAATAATCTATTCCTACATTTTAACAAGAGGCCAAAAGCGAATCGTTGGAGAAACGTCGGATTGTTGAAAACGGAAAATCCTTAATTGCGATACCGTCGATCATATTTGCCCTTAGCAATGAATGAACTTTATGAACATTAGCGTTCGAAAAAGATTACAAAAATAAAAGAAAGCTTGTAAGTTAAGTTATGACTGAAGTGTTGATTGGAAGATGCACAAGATGGCGGAAACGCTTAGAAAATGGACGGGAGGATTCAACTGACAAGGCTTTTCATTCGTCGGGAATAACCGATTTATTTTTTCAGGTTTAGGTACTATACAGGCGCACGTAGATGACGTAGATTGTGTTTTCTTACGATCTGAGCTACGACGATATTTGCATAATATATCGATGATTCGAGATTCTAGCAAGACAAAAAATATCAATTATGTAAATATAATATACATATATAGCCTACGGATATTATTATTATTAACATTATTATTATCATCATCATTATTATTATTATTATTACTATAATAATAATAATAATAATAATAATTATTATTAT